TGGCGTGATTTCTTGCTTCCTGATACCTAGTATCCTCTCGTTCTCTAGGCCGACCATGTCTTGCAGATGGTCCCTTTATACACCCAAGCCTGCAGCGTATACTCTTTCCATCCACTAACCAAAGTATCCTCCGATTCGAGGTAGGGAGCCAGCAGCCGATGGCGATATACACCTTAGCCCTAATCCCACAAATCCAATTCTACCCCACAGGTGTCCTGCTCGACTTCGATCCGCGCCTCTGAGAGGCTCTGTGAACTCCCCTTGGGGTGACGGCATGAGAGGCTGTAACCGTTATCGTCGGATGGTTTTTAAATCGTTCCTGTGTGCCAAAGGGGCCTCGAGGTCGCTAGAATTGCGGTGGAGGCAGGCCGCAACATGGCGGACTCGTTTCCTCTGGTCGTCATTGCGTCTCTCATTGGCTCTGGAGTAACAAAGACTCCAGGTTCGTAGCTCACGCCTCGTACAGGCTGAGAAATCCGACTTCGTGGGCCTTTTCATCTGATGTGTATCATGTGTGTGGACGGCAAGTGGTAAATGAGATGTAGAATCATGGATCAGATTATCTGCGCGATCGCGATCGAGTATCCGAAATATTGTCATGGACTTGGAGCCAATTTACGTGGTGGAGCTGGTTCCCACTTTTTCCAGGATTCCGTCAAGTCTGGATCCGTGCCCCCCGTTATAATTAAATCCCCTGTACTATTGGTACAACCAGGTACGCACTATTCTGATATCAGAAATATGTACATAAGGGATTCAGGGGAAACCCAGACCAAGCCGAACATAAAGTCATACATGGCCAATGATGAGAAGGTGTGGTTGAGGGGCAACCATGAACCGCGGCATCATGAGTATGCAAGTACCGTCACACACGGGTATGATTTCACAGGACTGATCGTCGTCTCTGGCGTTTATGTCAAATCTTCCGATCAATCAGAACGGTCGTGGATATCTACCGGGTGATCGGAGCCAATCCACGGCAATCAAATGGTAGGAACAAAGCTCCCGACTTTCAAATCCGATTGGATATGAAGCAAGCCCCCGCCTTTCAGACCGCTTTTCGAAGTGGTAGGTGTAAATTACAATACAGCATTAAAACATAGCGGATGTATTTTACGGGAAAGTGCTGTAACATGGTGTGCCCCGCAATCCACGGCACCATCTCCAGCTACCTCCGACATTTCAGTCTCTAATCCCAAGTCATCATGTCATCGTGACGTCAAGTGGTTTCTTAGCACGTAGCGACATCGTAATATATTTATATAGCAGTCCAGATATGCCATCGCTCTAGTCTCTAGGTTTCAAAAATGAGTCATTTGCTGCTTGCTGTGTTGTGTTGCGGAACTGATGATTTCGCAAGAAGAAAGAGGTAATTTCATTTCTTACATACTGCAACTAGGTATTTCAAACTAACTTGTTAAACAGATATACTACCAATCTCAAACTAAACCGAAAGCACAGACGTGGCATGACCGTTCAAGTGAGGAAAGTTGAAAGAAGAAAGACGAAGATAAATTTTGCGTCCCGCAATATTTTGCAGTGCCTCGACAGGCAGCAAATGAATCATTTTTGAAACCTGATCTTATTGCACCGATTTGGTGATATACCAAAATGGCTTTGCTCGATGAAAGCTCAGTGTTTAGCGACTGTGACTTTTTGTTCACTTTCGTCGAGTAGAAAAAACATCTTGTAAAGCTCACATAACCAAGTTAGCCTTGTTACAGCAATAATCGGTGTGCTGCCACATGGCGCCAGTGTATGTCAGCCGAAGGGTGCCCAAACCTATCACACCAGGTATTCTGCTTATCTTGCGGCCATAGTTGATATCGGAAATCCTGGGCATCGTGTATAGTCGGATGAACCATTTCGATCTTTGCGACTCTGGGCCCCAGTTTTCCCTTCAGGATCGGCTCCTCAATAGTCTGGTAATTAGACCCACCGTAGGGATTGTATCTGTCTGGAGGAGGCGGTGATAGGACGGTGACTACATTCCCATCTTGCGCAATGTGATAGGCGAACATAGCAGATGCGCCTTTCATGTACCTGCTCCATTGCTTGCTTGATTTTCGGGACCATAAGCATTGCGGATGCTCATGAACCATCAAAGACCCCATTGCCGTAGTTAATGTCTGCTTTCCATTCCTATCGGCCCAGCTTTGTACAAGTTGACGGTATACTCCACTCCACATGACCTGGCATCCTGGTAGCCACTGACCGTCGTGGAATTGGAGGCAGATCTGGTTTGCTTCTTCGACGGTAAGCAATTTGCGAAATTCTTCGACCGAAGCTGACGAGCACATACGTATGTTGCTCTCAGAGCTAGAATCACAAATTTGTGAAGGAGTTAGGGCCGTTGGTCGTTGTCCTTAGGTAGAAAAGGTGCAACTGGATTAGATTGCTGGTTAAAATACTTTGAACAACGAGGAAGCGTATGATATCACCTCAGAGCAAGTCTTGATATGTCCATGTAATGATACGCTGCTATGACGATGACTTAAATTACAGCAATACAATTATTACGACAGGGGTTCTGCCATAGTTCTAAGGCGGTGAGCTAGAGGGGACAGCGGATGTCGGAATTAGTTTCTCCGGATCAAGAAGCAAGTACGGAGGTATAGCTGATTTCGAAAACTACTGTATCCGTTTAACTCCAATGAGACACAGTACTGTATATATTATGACATGTATAGTAGGTCAGCGATAGTTGCCCTTTCGGTTTAGCCGCCGGGCGTTAATGAATTGTGTGTGTGTGTGTATCCGTTTAAAGCATTTGTATGCCACGATTAGCTCGTAGTCATAGGATTTTTGATCAACAGCCCGTCGAATAAATGACTGTTGTGCAGCGTGCTACATGCCGAATTGCAGTTGTACCGTGCTCTAGTGAACCCCGGGCCTCTTAGTCTCCACACTCAATAGAATGGGGCGTACGCTGGTCGCTTCAAAGTCAATATGGTTGATGATCTGTGTAGTTGTGGCTCCGCTTCACTTGTTTAAGCTGGGAATTTATCTGTGTCTCGATCCACCGAAGCATAAACACATATATTGATCAACTTGATAGGTGAGGAAGCAGGTTTGAATTCAATTCTCAATGCGAACGAGCGGTACTACTGAATTTGAGGGACGTACTAGCATAGGAGCGGGAGCCACCATCCTAGATGCATCAAAATCTGCTTACCAGCTTAAAGCTTTGAAATCTTCATACTGGCTACTCATAGCCTCTTTAGAAATGTTTCTTAGAAGGCATGGATGGACTTGACTTTTCCAACTTGATACGTCGTGGTTGAACGCTTGATATTCACTAGCTTTCCTCTGTCACCACAGAACCTTAGACATTATAATATGATGTAGATTGAAGTGAGTCTGGCCAAGATATGCAAAAATCAAAGACAAAGATGTGGTGAAGTGATTTCTAGCGGACCTGTACTTCGGATCCGTGGGACTCGTTAGGCAATGACTGGAAATAAATATGAGGTCTGATTTGTAAGACACTGACGATGACCTGAAGAGACCCATCCAAAGCTGCTAGTTTAAGGCCTTCCCCGTGACAACCTGTAAGTCTGTCATGGTCCCTTTTGGACGAATATCCAAGCTCCAGACATTGAGTATTGATGCAAGTACACGGGTTGACTAGGCTCAATCGACCTGCCTTTTTTTCATATTTGATGAATCCAAAAGCGTGCTTAGATCGAACGTCAGGTTCGGGTACCAATATCGAAATGTAATCATCGCTTTCTTCATAGACTGGCTGAAAGCTTAGACGATTCAGATTGAATCACTCCACGATTGCGTCTCTCCTAGTACAGTAATCTTCGGTGTCATCGACATCTCCAAACTTTTCAAGAAATAGATATGCATCAGCGCAGTGCCAAGACAGATTGCTCTCCCATTTCCTTCTGCCTCATACATTGCAAAGAACATTGACTGTTCCCACTCCCGAGGGACTCGTGGAGGTATCGACGCTTCTCAATGGTGGTCCATGGTACTTGTCCATCTGTACAAACCTTGAGGCGCTATTGCAGACGTGCTGAGCACATCCACTAACAACGATCCACGCGTTACGGATCGGAAGGGTCTTTGTAGCATCATCGTGCACCCTCGAAGTTATATCGGGCCGCGGTCTGTAAGTTTTTTTTGTTCATTTGTGTTGAAAAAGGAAGATTGATTGGTTGTTGTTCTGGAGGGAACAACTGAGGCTATATATACAGTACAACGAGAAGATCAAATTGATTTCCAATCACCTTGGTCCTTTGTATAGACACTTCGGGATTAATTCCCATGTTGCGGATTCGTTCCTGGTCTGCACAAGCCGCATTTCACCACAATATGATCTAAGCAGACAATTTAGCAGACGGTAAATTTTTGATATAGTCATAAAGGGAGGGGGGTACTTCGTGAGCGGCGGATTGCTAAGTGTCGAACACTAGAATTCTGCCAGGTACATGCAACCAATCGAATTAAAGATGAAGTACAGTCTGATCCTTTTTCTATGGAAAACAGTGCTTGAAATACATGTACCCCATTTTGGCATCCGAAATACGGCCGATACAACCCTGAAACATCTCAAACGAGGCATACAACCATGGTAAGCTCGTAAATTCTCTGCAAAATCTCTGAACAAAAGGCATCGTGCAAGCACCTTGGACCCCGAGGTCGCTGCATACCAGACTATATCCCCGCAGCGATCCGTGGCGGTCTGGTATGCGGCCTGAGGCACCGAGATTCGCTAATTTCCAACAGGCTTGTGGGGCTCACAATCCTGACAGTTGACCTGATTAAAGATTTCGACCTGTAATTCCAATCAATCAAAGCCCAGTGTAGCCTTTTTTTGACAGGGAAGATGTAGCCAACCGTAAGATGGTGCGTAATAGCCCAGAGAGAAGGATCATCATGTGAGACCCATTTCGCATCTGCAAGGCCAAGCTGTTGTCCCTACCTGTAGACTTCCTTCATCTCTCCATGGGCAAAACTCCTCTATTCATCATTCCCATCTATCAATAACCATGTCTGATAACCCACGTGATCGGGGACGAATCCGAGGTGACCAAGGATACGGTCGCGGCGACCGTCGTGGTGGTTGTGGTGGTGGTCGCGGTCGGGGGGATATGGACCTTACCTTCCGGGAACGCCGTGGAGGATCCCGTGGGACATAAGAAAACAGCGCTGTACCCCAACCGTCCAGGCTATGGCACACTAGGCAAACCTGTTACCTTGTATGCCAACTATATGCCGTTCACGGCGGTTGGCAAGCCGGTCTCCCGCTACCATGTCGCTGTCGGCAAGGAGCAGGGCCGGGAGGTGCCGACCATGAAAGCGCGTCAAATCGTGTGACTCTTGTTGGAAGAGCACTTCGCCAAATATATCAAGAACATTGCCACTGACTATCGATCTACATTGATCTCGTGCATCGATCTGGGGCTGTCGGGTGACAAGAAGTACGATGTGCGGTATAAAGGCGAGAATGAGCTCGATTATCTCGATGAGCCCGAGGTCTACAGCGTGACTGTTGGACCGACGGGCACGCTGGATCCAACAGATCTGATTAATTATGTGTCGTCGAGTAGTGTCAACGGTCCTCTAATGCAGCAAGATCAGATATTGGCGGCGATGAACATTATTATAGGTCACCAGCCAAAGACCGACCGGTCGGTGGTCACGCTCGGCGGTAACAAGCATTATAGCTTTGATGCTGCCACTGCCGAACGCATGTCTCTGGGTGGTGGTCTTGAGGCGTTACGTGGTTTCTTCATCAGTGTGCGTGCCGCCACCGCCCGCGTTTTGCTGAACGTGCAAGTCAAATATCTCGCGTGCTACCAAGAAGGCCCTCTGCCTATGGTGCTTAGAGAATATACGCGTACGAATTCGCGCAACCCCTACCGACTTGAATCTTTTTTGAAGCGCATGCGTGTCCGAACCACTCATATTGTGCGGAAGACGAGCAGCGGCAAGCCTCGTCCTCCTCAAATCAAGAGCATTACCGGGTTAGCATCACCATCCGATGGTCGTTCCGGCACGAATCCGCCCAAGGTGGCTCGTCACGGTGCTGGCCCCTTTGATGTCCAATTTTTTTTGGAAGCCCCTGGGTCGAAACCGCCAGCCGCACAAGCTGCGCAGCATGCTGAGGGCAAGGGGAAGAAGGGGAAGAAGCCCGCCAAGACAGGCCCAGCCCCCGCAGGCCAGTACGTCTCTGTCGGTGATTATTTCAAGCGAGAGTACAAAAGAGACTTGGACCCGAACTTGCCTGTTATCAATGTCGGCAACAGACAATTCCCTGTGTATCTTCCCATGGACGTGTGTGAGGTCGGACCTGGTCAGCCAGTGGGAACCAAGCTCTCCCCTGATCAGACATCTGACATGCTCAAGTTTGCTGTGATGCGACGCAAGCCTGCGCAGAATGCTCAGTCAATTGTTACCAACGGAGTGGGCATGTTAGGTCTTAGCGAGCCGTTGAGCGCCACATTGGCTGCCTTTGGTGTCCGCGTTGATAGCAATCTTCTTACTGTCCAAGGCCGTGTTCTGGTGCCTCCAAAGATCCTCTACGCTAAGCAGAGAGAGATCTCAACCACCGCCGGCTCGTGGAACATGAAATCCATTGAATTCTCTAAGGCAGTGTCGTTGAAGAATTGGACATACATGTACCTCACGACCGACCGCGCCCGTACATACTGGCAAAACGGTGGTCAGATGATGGGATCTCTGCAAAAGTTCACGTCTGTACTCCGCAGCATGGGTATAGATGCCGAGTTACCCAAGGAAGGCCAACGTCTCGCCCTTAATGGTAGGAATGATGCCGAGGTCATCGAGAAGTCCGTTCGCGAGCTGCAAGGTCGTTACAAGCCTTCCATGATCCTGGGTATCTTCCACACCAAGGATACCACCCTTTACAACACGGTCAAGCAGGTCTGCGATGTACGTTGTGGTGTCCGCAATGTGAATATGCAAGCTGAGAAGCTCGCCCAGGGACAGGACCAGTACTGTGCCAACGTTGGTCTGAAGATCAACCTGAAGCTCGGCGGAGGAAATCAAACGCTCAGAAACTCCGACCTTGGTCTATTTGGAAACGGCAAAACGATGCTCGTCGGCATTGACGTTACCCACCCCTCGCCTGGCTCAGTAGGCATCGCGCCTAGTGTTGCAGCAATCGTCGCATCCGTTGATTCCGCGCTCGCACAGTGGCCGGCCGAATTTCGCATCCAGGAGAAACGCCAAGAAATGGTTCAAGATCTCGACGCCCTTATGCAGTCACGTCTCAAACTGTGGGCCAAATTCAATAAAAACAAGTACCCAGAAAACATTGTCGTCTATCGCGACGGTGTCTCCGAAGGCCAGTACGACCTTGTCATCGAAAAGGAACTGCCACTCCTTAAGTGCGCCTGCGAAGCCGTTTACCCAGCTTCTGACACCAAGCGCGGTCTCCCAGCTATGTCCATCATCATTGTCGGCAAGCGCCACAACACCCGCTTCTACCCGACCACCAATGCCGACGCTGATCGCTCTGCGAACCCAATGCCGGGTACCGTCGTTGACCGTGGTGTCTCCGAGTCCAAGCACTGGGACTTCTTCCTGCAGGCACACTCCGCACTGCAGGGAACTGCCCGCCCGGCCCATTACTTCACTGTCTGGGATGAGATTTTCTCTCCCCAGCACCCGGGTGGCAGTGGAGCCAGAGGCGCAGCCGATCTTCTTCAGGATCTGACTCATAAGATGTGCTACCTCTTCGGTCGCGCAACGAAGGCTGTCAGCGTCTGCCCACCTGCGTACTATGCGGATTTGGTCTGTACGCGTGCGCGGTGCTACCTCAGTGACCTCTTTGATCCTAGTATGGCTTCGACACCTGCGGCAAGTGTTGCTGGGACCGAGGGCCGCGGACAGCCTGATTTTGAGAATGCCATTGTTCATTCTCATGTGAAGGACACTATGTTCTACATCTGATGACTATGTAATTTGGTTACTTCAGCTTTGGATTGATCCATGTGGCATTGGTAATTTGGCAGAAACTGGCGATTGGCTTTCGATAATTTGGCAAATTGACTTGCTTGGTGGATTATGTTGCTTTGAAACGACCTTTACGAGACGAATTCAATATACTTCCAGTATAGTGGCAATTGAGATGGTGGCCCTTGCATATTGCTTCACCGCAGTCTTGCTTCTGGTTACCTGGCCTGCTTTGTCATATTGTTATCTCAATTGGGGCCACGAGAAGATTACTATGAAAAAAAAGTCGGGATTTGACTGATAGCATTGTATTCATTCTTGCGCTCGAATTTAACTACGGTCTGCCTCCACAAATAATCACTGCCCAATGAGCTGATCCGACTGGGGGCAGACTATATTAATACCAGGGAGTCTTGGCGCCTGATACGGATTTTTTATGGAATGAAAATATATCTATTGCAGATACTGTCGTGATTAAGGTGAGAACCAAGGAGACAGCCGTTCAAGGGGTAATACACTATCTGATGTTCATTTATTCGCAGGATCCTCCGCTAATGCTTTAAATTTGAAGATTCCCGAGTTAGTCTTGATGAGCCCACTCGCCTAGCAACTCGCGGAAGAACAGGATACAGCCATCTCCCACGCGCTCTTTATAATCACTCGGCAGCGAACTCTGTGGCTTCTTTTGCGGTTAGCCTAGAAGAGTTCTCATGTGATTTCGCAGACGTAGATACCCAGAGCAAATTTCCATTGAACATGAAAAAGAGAGCTGCCGAAGATTCACGTGGCGCACAAAAGCGAGATCGACCCTCGAATGCCATTCCCCTAGGCTCCGATTACCTACAGATGGCGACAAATGAGACGCGTTCAAAGCGAACTTCAAACGCGTCGGCTATCAGTACCGGACTGATCCATGACACGGTCCACTATCTACAGACGGTCACAACCCTTATCACTAAACCAAATATAGTTTCAACGGGGGTTTGGGCAGCATTGCAATTGGCGACGCAGCTGCTACAGCATACAAACGAAGAGATTGTGGCAGCGGTCGCCGCAGACCCCAATGCTGTGATACATGGCATTCCCGCGCAGGTGCAGCAGGAAACAAAGTGTAAGAGGTGCGCTGCTGAGGATGATGAACATTTATACGATTGACGCGCTCATCATATCGAGACTGTATCAAGAGGGATTGCCGTCGAGTCTCGGGATTTGCAAAGCCGTATGTCAGCCTGAGCGGGCAGGACTGAAGCAGGCTGCTCTCATCTCAGAGCGCCGTGATAGAACTCTTACGGTGGGCTGTTGATCCTTCATTGCCAGAACTGGCCCAGATAATCGTTGAAGGAGAGCGTCGAGTCGAGTCTCGTGTAGCTAAACAATATAGTCGTGATCCAAGCCATAGTAACCAAGAAACAATCGAAAAGACCAGTAATTCATTTCTTCAATTCTGACAAAACCTCAACTTAATAATATATGGACGAGTGAGGTCTCAAACATTGTAATAGTACACAAAGGTATGGGGGGGGGGTTTATGGATAGTGACGGGGTGAGGGGATCGGTCATTGATTCTGTAGTGATTAAACAGCGGAGAAGCTTCAACGGTCAGATCTGTTGTGATATAAGGCTGGTGCAGATCAGGAACCAAGCCGAACCACCGGAATTAATCCCGAAGTATGTATACGAAGAACCAAGTTGATTTCCAATCAACTTGATCTTCTCGTTGTATATATAGCCTTATTCTTCCCTCTCAAATAAAAACAAGACAATTCACACCTCTGAACTACAACAGGTTATGAGCCCGGAAGCAAAATCTCGGGTGCCATCTCTACTCATCCGAAAATTATCTTAACCATCGTGATTATATATCTACCCCGCTTTCGCAGTCATCACTATGTCTGCTCTGGTTCACGACTCTCCGGACCGAGCCGTCACGGCCATCGAGCCTCTGACAGGAAGCGATAATTACGCAACCTGGAAACGTCTTATGACCTCCTACCTCAAAGCCAGGCAGGTCTGGGATGTTGTGTCGGGCGACCTCCAGCGTCCTGACTGCTTGTTCAAGTACGCCAAGCCTATTACGGCAGACATTCATCCTTTGGTGGAACCGCACCTCGCGGGGGCGGTGAGACAGCGCGCCATTGAGGCGCGCCTCGAAGTGGAGGTCCAGGCATTCGAGCGCCACCGTGAATGGTCGCGCCGCGAAGCTGAGGCCTACCACACCATTTTCCGGTATCTGTCCCCCCACATTAGCATTCATGTTGCGGGACTTGAGACGTCTCGCGACCTCTGGAATGAACTCGAAGAACGGTACCGGCGAATGGAACTGGCCACGTTCTGCGAGTTGTTTGCGCAGCTTCGTGAAACCACTGGCGAGCGCTGCGGCAGTGCCCGCGAATTTGTCGATCGGGTACGGTTGCTCGTACATCGATTGAATGCTATCGTGCCCGGATCCATTGGCGATCGAACGCACATTGCGATCTTACTGACGCAGATCGGACCGGAATACATTCTAGTTGTGGATGCCATTCAGAATGACAAGGATCCGGTGAATCCGACCACGATCGGAAATCGTCTGTCTAATGCTGAGCTGACGGTTCGGAGAAAAGAAGCTCCAACACCCTTGCAGGCAGCATCTGGCCCGTCTGTCAATACGGTGCAGCAGACTGCCAAGAAATGCAACTATTGTAAAAAGCGCGGCCATGTGGTCGCGCAGTGCTGGAAGAAACAGCGAGAAGGACAGTCGTCTAGGGACCATGCCCTGAAGGCTGAGAGGAGTGTTTCCGGCTCACCAAGAACTAACTTACAAAAGATACCATCAAGCCAGGTGGAAGATTGGCAGGGCCCGCCGACTTCCAAGAGACCGAGGATCAATATCGTGAGGGCGAGGGTGACGACCCTTTATACCCACGCACCGCAACCCCGGTGGATCCTGGACTCGGCCGCCACCAGCCACATCTGCTGGGACCGGAGCTGCTTCAGCAGTCTGCGGCCCCACCGCGAGATGTTGGACACGGCGGGCGATCCAGTGGAAGCCGAAGGGATTGGTACGGTGAAGCTCACGCTCCGGGGGAAGTTCAACCAGCCCCTGGTGCTGAAGAACGTGTACTTTGCGCCACGCGTCGGGATGAACCTGATCAGCGTGCCGAAGCTGTTGCGAGACCGCTACTCGGTGGTGGCGCACCCACAGAACGTCTTTGTGCAACGCCGAGGACGAACCGTGGGGACCGCCTACCACGCGGAGGAGGATCTACTGATCCTGCGGTGCCATGTGAGCAAGAGATCTCGAGAGCGAGTCCAACTGGCGAGGGCGCCGACGACCCATGACCATGCAGATTCCCTGGAACCGCAGGCGGTGGCCATGGACGTTGACGATCCTCGGGAGTCAAGTGGCGTAGAATGTACAGCGCCAACCTCTGAACTCGGTGGTGAAGCTGTGATACTCGAAGAAGATGTGTGCACAGGAGTGGACCAGGCCTCCGAAGCGTTGTGGCACGCTCAGATGGGACATCTGAACCGGGGCGACTTGAGGGTGGTCCTTCGGCAGACCGGCACTCCGTACCGACCGCTGACGCAGGCGCAGCTGCTGGCAACGCCGCAGTGTCCGGCGTGCATGTCGGGTAAGCAGCATCAGAAGAGGAACTCCCGCGCAAGACGGCCACGTCTGCATTCAACGAGAATTTTCGAATTGATCCATTCGGACATCATGGAGATGCCGATTGCCAAAGATGGCTCCAGGTACGTGATCACCTTTACTGATGACTATTCTCGTGGCTCGTGGGCCTATGCCATGAGATGGAAGCATGAAGCGCTCCCGAAGTTCCAACATTTTGAGGCCTGGGTGCACCGACAGTTCGGCGCCCAGATCAGAAGATTCCTCACCGATAATGGGAGAGAGTATCTGCCAATTGGAACACATCTCGAATCCCAGGGAGTTGAGTTCGACACCTCGCCGCCATACTGCAAAGGGCAGAATGGGCTGGCCGAACGCACTAATCGTACTATCCGGGAGCGGATCAACACGCTCCTGTCCGATGCGAACCTTTCTCCTTCCTGGTGGATCGAGCTTGTAGACACAGTGGTCTACTTGAAGCTGCGTGCACCAGCATCGATCTTACGGAAGAAGACACCGTTTGAAATTCTATACGGGGAACCGCCCTCGCTCTTGCATCTGCGACGGATCGGCTCCCGTGCATGGGTCTTGATCCCCAAAGAGCATCGAGCCAAACTCGGACCAAGATCATCCGAGTGCCGACTGCTAGGCTATTGTGAACCGAATCAGTACAAGCTCTATGAAATCCATTCAGGAAAGACAGTCTTTTCCCGTGATGTCGAGTTCGATGAGAGGACCCCAGTGGCGCCACTCATCGAGGGGGAAACAGGCAACGACCTCCCGGACAATGCTCCTCCATCACCTGTCTTTTCATCAATGCCAGGTCCAGCCAGCGGGCTGCCAACACCACCTGCATCGCCATTACCTCCGCCGAAGGAGCGAGAGAAAACGCCATCTGAGCGTGAGGAGGAGACACCTCCAGTGGTCAATCCAAGCCAACAAGGCACTGACCTGACATCGGATCTTGGATATTCGATTTTTGGTCGCAGAAGAAGACCATCACGGCGTCTCCTGGAATCACTCGGCAAGGTGTACTCTGCCGGCGCATTGAATCCCGCACCGGCCAGACAAGTCGACCCGGCGACCTTTCGCGAAGCTGTATCAGGCCCAGACCAGCTGGACTGGTGGGCCGCCATCCAGAAAGAATATGCGTCGCTTCTCGAACACGGAACATGGGAAAAGGTTCGGCGGGAGGACGTCCCAGCCGGAAATCATGTGATTGGCTGCAAATGGGTCTTCAAGACCAAGGCCAACGGAACGCGCAAAGCGCGATTGGTTATCAAAGGCTACCGGCAGAAACATGGCATCGACTATCACGAAACGTTTGCTGCTGTGTCCAGGATGGACTCGGTCCGCTGCATCGTCGCCAGCGCCGTGTTGCGCGGATGGAAACTCCACCAATTCGACGCGGTCACCGCATTTCTCCATGGAGACGTCGATTCGTCTATCTATATGGAGTTACCTGAAGGTTTCGAAAAGCCAGGATACGTATGCCGACTGCGCCGCTCACTATACGGACTGAAGCAGGCTCCGCGGATTTGGTACCAATGCGTCCACCGCGTTCTGGCTTCTCATGGCTTCACTATGGCCCAATCGGACAATTGTGTGTTCTACAAACCGGATTGCGTCGTTTGTGTCTATGTCGATGACTTTCTTGTTGCTGCGACAAACACGCACGAAATCGAACAAGTGCAACGAGCCTTGCAAACAGAGTTCCGACTGAACGATCTGGGCACCCCTCGATCATTCCTCGGGATCCAGTTCGACTATGATGTCGATGGGTCCGTATCTATTCACCAACACCAGTACATCCAGAAGGTGCTCTCCGACTTTGGCATGGAGACTTGTCAGCCGAAGTCTACGCCGATGAATCCCAAGCAAATCTTGAATCATCGTCCAGAGGAGGAACCTCCGGACGAGGAAGCAAAAGCTCGTTATGCGACTGCCATCGGTTCGTTAATGTATCTAATGGTTGGCACGCGACCAGATATTGCATTTGCGCTGGGCATGTTGAGTCGCTTCACGTCTCAGCCGCAATCGCAACACCAAGTCGCTCTGCAGCGATTGCTTCGCTACATCAAAGCCACGCAATCTCATCGCATTACTTACCGCAGTGGGCAGTTGATCGGGTACACGGACGCCGACTTTGGGGGCTCCGTCGTCACTGACGGTGCATACTCAACGTCTGGCTATGTTTTCCAACTTGCAGGTGCGCCAGTTTCCTGGTCATCCAAGAGACAGGGGGAAGTGGCCACGTCTACAACTCATGCCGAATACATCGGACAGTACAATGCCATTCTGCATCTCCAGTGGCTCCGCACCTTTCTGGCTGAAACGCAACTGTATCGGTCTCCGGTCACTAACATTATGGCTGACAACCAGTCCGCCATCGCTCTCTCTCGCAACCCTGAATTCCACAAACGCACGAAGCATTTCAATGTAAAATTTCACTATCAGCGAGCCGTGCTGGATACAGGCGAGATTGGGCTTCAATATATTCCAACTGGGGAACAGGCCGCGGACGGTCTCACCAAGCCATTGGGACCTACGGCCTTTGCCAGATTTTGTAGTCTCTTAGGAGTCGATGCTCCAGAGGTTTCGAGACAAAACGCGTGACAGCGCAGGCGCTCTTTCCACTTATTTTCCCACGAAGGTTTTTCAGTGGTTTTACCGAGGCCTGACTGCTCTGCGCCATTCCAGAATCGCCCTGCCAGCAAAGCGATCCTGAGGGGGAATGTTGTGATATAAGGCTGGTGCAGATCAGGAACCAAGCCGAACCACCGGAATTAATCCCGAAGTATGTATACGAAGAACCAAGTTGATTTCCAATCAACTTGATCTTCTCGTTGTATATATAGCCTTATTCTTCCCTCTCAAATAATAAATAAGACAATTCACACCTCTGAACTACAACACTTCTGACCTTGGCCCTCTTTTTCTGGCATTCTGTGCAGGCAAAAGAAACGTTGCATCGCTGTCTGATTGACAAGCCCGGCTCAGGAAGTTGGATTTTGGATCCCCTGCTCGCGGGCAGGAGCTTGCGCAGGGTTCTGTTCTTCGGCATTGAGATGGTGGATCAAAAATGCGGCTTTGCGAAGTCCTGAGGGAAAGAAAATTTCACCTACAGGAGAGAAATGCCTAGCAAGACCATTGAGGATCTCAGACTCTCAGGGGCAAATTTCAGGCTTTATTTTTTAATTTCTGCCCATGTCCGCAGTTCTTTGTTTGCTACATATAGAATAATCCATAGCAAACAAAGAAAGCAGCAAGATGACCCACTTCGGCTTACAAGCCGTGTTCCGATTGGAAGAGAGTGCTGCCCCCCCCCCCCTCAAAATTGACTGGATTTCTTGGAATTATGCTGGTTGGTTCAGATACGAATGATATTCATGCGCGCTTCGAGAGAGACCCATGAAGAAAGAGTTGCACAATGGATGCATCTTCAATTCATTACCACCAAGGCAGCGATAAAAAGTGTGCTGGAACAAGGTTGACTGATTTTGGCGGTCGATCTAGCGCGGGAACCCGTCGAAGTTACCCCCACCAGATTTTCCAGCAAGCTGGACGATCAAGCGATCTCAGAAATTGATCGGTGACTTCTTGGCCTGTAGTCAATGTACTACTATGTAGAAAAATAATTATTCTGGCTCAGGGAATGAAGAATCTGGGAGAATCTGTGATAAAAAATCGGAAAATCAGGAGTGTAAGAGCGAGCCAGGCTATTTGACCATTCATCCATGGTATGGTTGCAGTACTCTTTGTTTGCTAGACAAAGAACCACCGATAGCAAACATAGTAGTCATCGGACCGACTTCAGGGACTCAACTCGAGCTACTGAGCAACGTGACCAATCTTTGGGTCTGATTGTCCATCACATGGATAGCCTGCTAATCGGATCACTGCATCAAAATCAATCAAATCTCGAATGTGAATGTGCTTTTATTCGAGTTTACAGAACTGGCAGGTTCATAAAGACAATTTTTCAAGGCTGTAGAGTTTTTCAAGGTTGTAGAAAGATCTACAGATTATATTTAACCTTCAACTATATTATGTATCCTGCAAGCATTATGACGTCTTAAAGCCATAGCGTTTCTTAACAGTAAAAGTAATTACTGCATTATTCAAATCACCGCCCGCTAGACAACCGTAAATGAACCAAAAGAAGCGCTTATTTACTAGTCAGTTTGAAGCTCCACACATTCGGTCATTGTTCTTAAGCTAAGAGGGCCATCTCACAAGCTATATATTGCCACGCATTAGGCATGTTCACGTAGTTTTCATCCTTTAGCGAGAATTATAACTTACACCCTATCAGTTTCTATCTATTAGCCCTGCCTGCGCGGCTAAAATCCTTTATCGAGGGGAACAATCATATAATCTATCGATTGTAACTCGTCAGCCAGAATCAAATATTTTTGATCTTCAATGAGGCAATTTCCGACTCACAAGCTATCGACTATAACTGATCAGTCCTACCCACGCGTTTATTGCCCGTCGGTGAGGCTGTCCATTTTATTGAGTCAACAATCAAGGGGGTGTTCAGCCTATTTTACATTTTCTGAGCAGGGATTCAATCGTTTAGGCCTTGTTGAGTGGTAACTGTAAAGCATTCCATTCTCTCATCACCAAGCCATCGGTTGATAGTCTCTTTCATTTCCGCTTCTTTGTGATAATCGAGTACTTCGGCGTGCCTGAATTATCATCAGTACTGCAATATCACGCACATACTGTCTTTCGGACGTACAATCTGCTTTTCCAGGTATCAATTGAATAATTTGCTCGATCGAATGCCCAATCAATTCTCCTGTCAGCCTCTGGTTCATCTGTTGGATCTTGATAAGGGGCTAGAAATGCGCAAGCTAGAGCTCCAGACGCTGACACTCGGCCTTGTGGATCAAATATGATCATTTTCTCTAGTAGATTAATGGCTAACATAATTAGAAATAGGTTCATAGAAGAGAAGGAATGGTCGGGATAGGGCAAAGTATACCTTTTGGATCCGCGCTCGGAATGATATCGGACAGCAGTTTGCCTTGGCTTTTCGGGAGTGACTGAAAGAATTGAATTCCCTGTAATATATATATAAGATTAGCGGAGATGAATCTTGCATATTTGCCATCTATAAACTGGGGGCTGAGTTTGTACACACGTCTTCGTTGGCCATTTTTCTTATAGTGCTTTTCGATGGTGTACCCAATAAATTCGTAATCATATGGAACTGTTGAATATAGTTTTGACCAGGAAGAAGAGCCTTCCCCAAGAGCAACTCAGCAAGTATACAACCAGCACCCCAAATATCAACGTGCTGGTCATACTTATACCACGAGAGTATGGCTTCTGGCGCCCTGTAGTATTGGGCGGGAACGCTAGTCATCCAAAGTTCTTGAGCTTGGGTGTGCGCAAAGTTGCAGATCTTAAGGTCGCAATTCTCGGTCACCGAAATGTTGCTTGGTTGCAGGTCGCGGTGGACCACACCCGCTGAATGTATGTATTTAAGCCCGCGCTGAATGTATAATTATCAGCGACGCAATGGTATTGATAGAAGGCAGGACCATTACCATTATCTGATATAGGAAGTACTGGACAAATTCGCCTTCAATCGACCTTGTCCTCATAATTGTTAGAAGGTTAACCTCCATCAGCTCCATGGTGATGTAACTGTAATTATCAGCCTGTTAGCCCGAGAGGTCGTTTCAAAACAGCGTACATGTCTTCTGAGGGAGAAATATAAAGATCAACCAGGCTCAGCACCTAATCTATTAGTAAGAGTCATGAATTCTAATTTTTATTGCACGACGAACATTTTCATGCTTCAAATGTCTCAAGGTTTTAATCTCCCTGAACATATCCTTTGCCATAGTCGCGGTAGCGAATGGGTTATAAAACTTTCTTATCGCGACGGTTTGCTGACATAGTTGGTCCCTAGCAGAGCTTGTGCCACATATCGTCAGTCTTCTGTTTGGTCATTTTGACAGATAAGATACCAACCACACGAGGCCGAAGACGCCACTACCCTGCAGAGGCTCCAATGAAGAATACCTAATTGATATTAATATCAGTCGTCTTCTCTCCTAGGGACGGAGCAGTCCATACCTTGTTGTCGTCTCAAACCCCTTTTGGGGCTTGGTTCCGTACGAAATGTGCCATAATAAAGAAAATACCGTCTATGAAAGAGATGGAAAGGAAATTATGTTGGCATCAAACTACTAGACTTTTTGAACCTGAACAGCTACCCCTGTTCCAGGTTTTTGATACTCAGTGGCAAGCTCGATCCTATTGGAGGAAATTTTCCCGCTGGTCCAGGGTTGCCTGGTAAAAATGCTGAAAGTATTAAAGTGTATAGTAATGTACAGTAACCCATACTTAAGATAACCTCCCCTCTTTTGTTGGCTCTAAAACAAGAAAACCTGCCAAACGGTCGTTCGTTCAAACTCCCAACCTCCGAACTGCAGTCACCCTAGCCACTAACAAAATGGCAAGATACATCGATTTCTGGCCACAAAAGAGAAGTATTCATATAGCCAGGAAAGACTCACTACGAGGCAAATGGCAAAGGTAGCGCAGTGTAGTGAGCGCTCAATGCCGCCGTATTCACCGATCCCCTTCGAGGAATATGTGAAATCCGCGACACAGTCGAGAAATGTCGGAAGCAATACCAGTGAAGCCATGACAAATCCAAAACTTAGAGAGACTGGAGGGTAGTGATATATGACCAGATTAGGAAGAACATGCACCCTTTCTGTCGATTTTATACGCTCTAAAGCAAGACATTGTGGTACGACTATTTGGTAAGTGGACCTATGTGAAAAAATTCCCATAGGCGTTCTAGATGAGACGAGCATCGCGCTTGGTGAGCCGGAAAGTGGGAAGGTGTGCAAAGAACTGACAGCATTTCGCTGTTCGCGTTACTGTCCTCGGGCGGGCCCTCCCAATTCTCGTATATAGGAGATCAGCAACTTCAATATATCTAGTTACTTAGTCCCACATACAGTATCTTCGCATGGACTCAACCCGTTGTATTCTTAGCAAGTTCCATCTGTGGCCGCTCAAACAGCTCGTGGATCTCTTTATTGGGTAAGCATTTTGACGGTTGCTCTGCTCGAATTACCTGGTGTGTTTTGGGGTCGCAGTCAGTAATGCATACTTGTGGAGTCTCACCGAAGGGCGGGTAATCTAACAAGATATTAATGGGATGTATGACTTGTCGTCTAGGGGTAAACCTGAGGAACAAAAGTCCAAGTCGGAACATCGGGGTGGCGTCAAGCGCTTGAGGATTGACCTAAGCTACCTCTTGGAAGTGTGGGGGGTGGGGGCGGGGCCCCCGCTCGGGATGGGCCATAGCTCATTGCACGGCCCACTCATTCACAAGATTTGAGCCGTTTGGATTATATTATAAGCCTAGACAACATTCCATTACCCCATCTTTTCAATAGCGTATCTCCCAGCCCCCCCCCCCCCCCCCCGCCTTTCCCCATATTATTGAAGTGGAGGGGTCTAATATCCAACCACTTTTGTCGAGTCTGCTTGTTGCCGGATACGGAGTAATAGGTTGATCGTCCACATATCCGACGTTCTTCCGCTTAAGGAGTTAGCCATTTTCATAAAAGAAGTATAAGTAGAGTAGCTGATCCTGTGACCTTTGGAAAGACAGATCGTTTACCATAAGCCTTGATTCCATCATAACTGGCCTCTCTATGAACAAACGCTTTCAGCCATGGGGACTCTCACAGGACTCCTATTCCTTATAGCTGCCTTGGCAACCCACGGTCTAGCTCAATATTTCAACAAGACATTCCACAATCCTATTCTGCCTGGCTGGAATTCAGACCCCAGCTGCACTTTCATTCACGAGTGGGACGACACGTTCTTCTGCACAACCTCTTCGTTCATGTCTGTGCCGGGGGCCCCAATCTATGCCAGCAAAGATCTCGTCAACTGGAGATTAGTGAGCCATGCCTTCACCAGAGAAGAGCAGCTGCCAGAACTAGCGACAAATCCGACACAGCTAGGAGGCATTTGGGCTTCCACCCTTCGTTTCAACGAGGGCACGCTTTACTTGATCACGGCCTATTTGTCATGGGCTGATGACAATCCTCGCGGTGGGCAGACAATCTCAAAGATCAAGATCTTTAGAACGACTGATCCATACAATGACGCCACTTGGTCCAACGCCCTCGAGATCGAAAATCACGCGAACATGATTGACCCAGATCTTTTCTGGGATACTGGAAAGGCTTACATGCTCCAGGCGGAGGACTACCTTAGCGAGATCGACATTAACACTGGCAAAGCGACCGAGGCTGTCAAGGTGTGGAACGGTACTGGAGGCTTTTCGCCTGAAGGGCCACACTTTTACCACAAAGATGGCTACTATTACATTATGCAAGCTGAGGGAGGCACGGAGAGCAATCACTCGGAAGTCATTGCTCGCTCCAAGTCCCTCGCTGGTCCTTATACGGCGTTTAAAAGCAACCCGATCCTCACAAACAGGGCCACGAACCAGTATTTCCAGGATGTGGGACACGCAGATCTTTTCCAAGATGCATCGGGCAATTGGTGGGGTGTCGCGCTAGCGGTCCGAGGTGGCTCGTCGGATATCATTCCTATGAACCGCGAGACAGTGCTATTCGCGGCGACGTGGGACAAGGGCGAGTGGCCAATTCTTGAACCCGTGCGGGGGAATATGTCTGGACGTCTACCCCCCAGGAACCGCGATATCGCTGGCAACGGCCACTGGGTTGGTGATCCAGATATTGTCGATTTCCCGCATGGCTCCTCCATGCCACAACACTTTATCTACTGGCGTCGACGGGATGATACCTTGTTCACTATCTCGCCAAAATCTCGTCCTAATTCACTACAAGTATCGCCATCCAATATAAATCTTACGGGCTTCACTGGATATGACGTCGCAAAGAACAGCCTTGCCTTTGTCGCGCGCAAACAGTCAGCGACGCTCTTCAATTACACCGTTGACCTGTCCTTCAACCCCAAGGTCAGAGAGGAAGAAGCTGGAATTTCCCTGTTTTTGAACCAGTTCCAACACATGGACTTGGGCATTGTGAACCTCGCAAGAAGTGGCGCAAAAGGTCTCTTACCACACATCAGATTCAGGGTTGAGGCGAGCGGTAAGCCTGACACTAAAGTGCCCGAGACAGTCATCTTGCCCGTACCCAAGGACTGGCTCCCGCAGCCCATCCGGCTATATATCTCTGCAATCAGCGACACCCAGTATGTATTTGGTGTAAGCCCAGCAAATAGGCCCGACGAGTATATGCGGATCACTTCTGTGAGTGGGGAAATTGTTACCGGTGGCTTGAGCCCTTTTACAGGTAACTTTATCCCGTTATGGCATGGTATAGACACCGCAGGCACTAACATTATCCATATCCAGGTTCACTGCTCGGTGTATACGCCACAAACAACGGGGGTGAAGGCAGAACCGCAGCCTTCTTCAGCCGCTGGAGATATCTGCCTGTGGCGCAGCAAATTGACTATGATACTTACATCTAAGAAGGGAGAGAAAAACGGACTAGTGAGGTGAACAGATTTTCAAGGGTCCGCCCTCTGCAGTGAAGCGAGTAAGGGGAGAAAACTTGACGGATTGCTAACGGCCGCTAGTTTGCTTGGTTTGCATGGCGTCTTCAAGTCGTCCCTGTCTACGAAGTACAGAGACTTGTATCGGTACAAATGAGGTACAAAATCAGGTACCATTACTACGTATAGACATAACATGTAATATACGCGATTCCATATTGGGCTTATAATATCACGTGACTAGGGTTCAGTGTCGGAACAATAGATCATGTAATCAACTTTATTAGTCAGCGTACCACATGTTAAACTGCTGTGGTGGAGACTAGAGAATACCAGACAAGTACACATACGTGACCCATACCATTGGTACATGCTTTTCGACCCTGATTACGTGTTCAGAGATTCAGGAAAGTAACTCCCTGTTTCCAGATATGGAAGGCAATAACGGGCGGCACTGTATCGCCTTATTGTACGTAGTGTGTGGTTGACCTTGAAATAATTTGAACCGGGAGCTGTTTGATGATGTATTACACTTGTGTTAAGAGGAGACGGTGTAGACTTCTCACTGGTCATAATATGGAGTGGTCACTAGGGAGATGAATGCCACGAATGTGAGTTCGATGTCAAAGTGTTTGTAGTTCAGATATGTGAACGTGCATTTATTCGTAAGGAGACGTGCGGCTATATATACAGTATAATAAGAAAATCAAGCTGATGCCCAAACTAATTCTTCGTAAAGTTTTTTCGGAATTAATGACGATGCTTCGGCTTGCTTCCTGATTTTTCCAGCCGTATGTCACAACAGTATTTTCCGTCAATATGGACTTTAGAAAGGCTGTTGGCCTGTGAAAGAAAATAAATCATGCAGGTGGGGTCTTCCGCCAAGTCGGACAAACATGTGCGCGAGGGGCGACCCACCGCCTGTTGTGCGACTTACCTCCCGTTTGTCAACGCCTCCACACTCACCATTAAGAGTCTTCTCATCAGCGCATTGACACTGTTGTTGAGATAGGTAGTTGTAATATTCTTGTTGAGGTTTCTATCAAAAGTGGGAAACCCATCTATTTAAATGTACATCGCTAGTCTCGCCACATAAGCTTTGACCACCGTGATACTCAACAGCTTCAACAGGTAGCTTCAACAGGCAGCTTCAACAGGCAAGATCAACATACGAACATTGCTCTAACCACATTAGATTTCATCCAGATTGTGCAATTTGAGCAATGCTCAATATTTGATGATCATTGTTGCTCGGGAGCGACGCTTAATTCGAAAACAAAAAAAGGTAAAAGAAAAAAGAAACAAAAGACAAAAGACCTCAGATTTCTGAGGATCAGAAACTTGAGGATCAGAAACTGGTGAAAGTCTGTGATACAAAGCGCTTCTCAGGTGCAGAATCCTCAATATGGCTCATCAAACCAATCCATGGAACAGACTCTGACTCGAAAAAGTTTGACCAACTTCGCCAGTGAATGATACTCTTGACTAAGTCTAGCGAGTATTTAAAACTCAGCTTACTCCCCTCAACAAAAACTCACGACCGTCCCGTGAGCATCATTTTAAATTTCACAATGTCCCCACGTGGAATTCTGAGCTGGTCAGTCCAAGAAGAAGAGAACCTCCTGCGATGGTTAGATGAAAATCGTTCATTGCCGTGGAAAGATCTTCCAGGCGCATACAGAGAAAGGTTCGGCGTGGATCGAAGCGTTGAATCCTTACGAGGCAAAAAGTACCATATTCTGCGGAAGAATGGTCGCACGACTGCGCGATCTCCAAGACGTCAAAGTCACCGTAAACGACGAGAGCCCCGCCGTCGCTCGACAGAACAGACGGTCATACATTCAGACGCTTCAGCCGATGCGGCAACCCGGAGCAACATCGATCTGTGGTTTCAGACAATTATTGTGTCTGAATCTGATTCTGCTGATAGTAGCGAATCAACGCTGACACGAGGCTCGATTTCAGGTATGGACCCTCTCAAGCTGCCTTGACGTGAATGCTAACTCTTTCTTCAGATCGCTTGATGCCGGCGCTTAGAAATTACCGACCCAAGAAATTACGATCGTCGTCATGGATCTGGGAGTATGTACATCGGATGTGTGCCACTGGGAGAATGGACCTCTAAGGCGTGGTATATGAACATATTGTGAGATACCGCAGACATACAAAAAAGTACGATGAAATTGGTTAAATTTTTTTGCTACCACGCACTAAAAACAGTATTTACGACATGAGCCTATTTCAAATCCCCAGATGGCTTATTTGGTGTCTTGATTATTCACAGCACCACGGTTATAGTGCGAATAAAAAGGGATGCGGTAGTCTTGCATTATTTAGTGTTAGACCGGTACAACAGATTTGCAAAGGTTCATTCAGCGGGCTATACCTGCCAAGATTCAATAGTGGCTTTCCCCTTCGCCTCTCGCCATTCATCCCGTGGAATTTATTCTTGCTATCCTGCTTAATCTGTTTGATATTGATGATGCTCGTAAAAAGATTGTATCCTTAGTCAACGGAGTTTTGGTAGTCGTGAAAGCGGGGATCTTGTAAAAAGCTTTGGCAACATCTATTCACTATTCATGGTTTGTAGAATCCTTGACCGGTAAGAGAAACTGTAAGGCTTCCCACACTTCTCATGCAAGCTCTCAAGGCCAACTTTCGAGAGTGGTCACGTTGGGGTACAATTTGTCCTCATGTGCAGGCCACCGACCCAAGCGGGTCAGAAAAGACTGGCCGTGAGACCTCAGTCGATGATTGCGCAGATCACTGAGCTGAAGCCAAACATCAATGATCCTGGGAGTGAGCTTGCTCCTGGGACTTTCCAGTTATGTCCCGGTGCCGCCGGTCTGGACCTGAGCTAGACCGGCTTTTCATGATTCTCTCTCTAGTAACGGCCCCGCACATATGCATCATGGCTCTGGCTATATAATTGATTGATAAAGCCCGGTGCCTTTCACATTATTGAACAGCTTTCAATGTCTTCTCATTCTGCAGACAAAGCCACAAACAAAGTTCTACGTGGTCATGGATACCTTCGTGGCCAATCTGTCCCCGGAGGTAGGAATTGTCCTCCAAGAAAACATCTCAAACATCATCGTCATATCGATACTCGCTACTGCCATATACAATGCCATGGAAACGGTGTTGATCACGTTTGACATTGTCAAAAATTATCGCACCCTCTACCTCTGGAGCATACAGGCCTCATGCTGGGGCATTCTTGTGCACGCTGTTTCTGCCATCATTTGCTGCACATCTCAAAAATCCACACTGCCGACGTCCGTGTTATTCATCGCTGGTTGGTACGTAATGGTGACTGGTCAGGCTGTCGTATGCTACTCTCGCCTGCGCCTGGTTGTTCTTGATATCAGCAAGGTGCGGTGGGTGCTCCGGATGATCGTCGTGAATGCTGGCATCCTACACGTCCCTATGACAGTTCTGTTTTTTGGGAGTATAAACGGCGATCCCCGCTTTCTCCGAACGGCTGCTATCTTCAATCGCATCCAACTGGTCGGTTTTTGTGTGCAAGAGAGCGTGATTAGTTGCGTCTACATGTCTGAGGCAATGCGCAATCTGATATGTGTCGCCAGACTTCGCGGCCGTGGGCAACCTCGAGCCACCACTCATCTGCTTGGCATCGGAGGATTTGTTTTTCTACTCAACATTCTGCTCCTCTTGACGGAGTACAGGCTGCATTTCATATAAATCAGTCTACAAACTATGATATACAGTATCAAGTTGAAACTGGATTTCGCGCTGCTGTATCATCTTCGCACAGCAATGCATGCCGATACTCTGGGTTTTCCACCGGGCCGGAGGCAAGGACAGTCGTGGTCAAGTCATGCGAATTTATTGAACACGGCCACCTCGCCCACAGCCGTTGCGCTGCAGGTGATAAGGCCATCTCGCGGTCAGGCAGTGGGAGACCAGGACCCTTATCACTCTCGATCTAGCGGTACTGCTGATTATCACGAAGCATTATGTGAGATTTCACATCATCCGGCAGGGACTTGACGAGAATATGTCGACTTAGCTTAGCTCACCTGGGCGGGGTGCCGTGACTGACCATCATTGTCAGTCATGCAGCATAGACTTTCCTACCAAAGTTTGCATAATCCATCACATTCTGTCTCCATCATAATCTGCAGTGAATGAAGATGATAGACAGCAATCACAAGGATGGGGTTTCAAACCTGGCCAAGGGGTCATTGTCCTGGTACACCCGGACCGATTAAATCCCGCATAACGAGGGCGTGCACATATCCGAGGGTCATAGAAAATATCGATATTCGTACCCTTTCCATGAAAAGCCGAAAGATCCTGACGTATATACCGATTAACCTTTCAATAGATAACTCTGCAAGGTATTGTGGAATGATCACAGGTCTTAGAAGTCATTTCGTCTGATTCGATCGCTTCGCTCCGATTCGACGATCGAGGGCCTCTTAAGCGAAGTCGACAACCTTGCTCGGCAAGGCTATGAGATAAGATTGTACTATTGAGAATTCCGGGGAAGCCCTTTGGTCTGAAGACAATGAAGGGACGCGAATTGACCTTTAAGCAAAAACGCAATACTTGCGGCGATCTTTGGGCCTCAGCTTTCCTTCTGGTTTTTTCAAAGAAATAAGGACATTAAAAATACCTGCCATCTGATCCAGCACTGATGTATCTCTCAAAGAGTGAGAACTTCAAAAGATACTGCCCTGCGGTGCGCACGGCTACATCCGAAAAGACAAAGCAGCCAGTTGGGTATGGTCTTCTAACGTGGGCGATACTTGCAAACCTGTCCCCAATCAGGACTGACGATGAGTGACCAGTGTTCTGCCGATGAATGGGTTCTATGGTGACGAGGAGGAAGAACTGCGCGTTGTTGTCGAATGTGACATCATGTTTTCCCGCAGACGGACATGAAAAAGATTCGATGGTGCGAGTTTGGACAACAGGTGGAGGGTCGATGATCTGCAAAAGCTGCATGAAAAATAGTGTACGAAAGTCAGAGACCATAGTTCGTCCTCCGATGTCCAAATAACCTCTGATGATATTTTTTAGCGGTAGAAAATTTGGCATCTGGAGGGGCTCAGCTAATAGGCAAGTCTGTCATGTGCAAGATGGCATCCCTGCGCATCGCGCAGTCCAGACGCGCCCTGATCCTCAATCACACTAAGATTACTGAAATATTGTATACTCGAAATTACTTAGATGTTTGGCTTATCATATGATTATAACTGCCATTCCTGAGTTGTCCAGTGAGGAGCGTTTCAAGCACTGGTCAGATGGCTTTCCTGGCTCATTCTAGCACTGAAAATATTCATCCGCGCAAAAACGAGCATCTGATGCAATGGGCTCGCCGAAAGGAATAGTTGCATGAGACCTACAAATTTCCTGCATATATAGTGATTTTGGGACAAAGGGGTCTTTGATAAAGAGGCATGATCATTTCGATGTCGTGACTCTGCCCGAACCATAACTGGACGCTCTGATAGTATATTATTCATCGGTGTATTTTTGAAAGCGACAATAACTGGTGCGGGACATTCAGATTGATCAAGGAGATGATCTGTCGGGTTGAACATATAGAAACGGCAGCATGAGAAGTACAATAAAAAAAACCACGATGATTGGATACAATAGTTTTTGGATAGCTATTGAAGCGGTTCAAGGAACTGAACTGTCGTCAAAACTCTGCATTGAGCATCATGGGGCGTCCCCTAGGTGGACACTGACTGTACTCCCCTAGTTCCTGATAAATACCAAACACGTCTCATTTGGCATAATCAAGGGCTACCTGGAGTCTGACTGGACCGGGGGCAAGATTGCCACCAATACCGCCGACATGGGCAACATCCTTTGTGTAGGCTTTGCGAACGTGACTCGCATTTCGAGTAATGGCTGAAAATATATGGGTGAGGACATCACATATCTGCATTCCTTGAATTTCCAGGCCAGCGTTCTGTGCTTGAATCGCAGAGACGTCAAATCCGGACCAGCCGTCGTTCACGAATGAACCAAAGTCAAAATCTCCCCACGTCGACGCATAACCACCTTTAGAATCCAAAGGGATGGCAGTTCCAGGTGCAGCGGCCCATCCACCCTGGGAATCCTCATCAAAGGCTATGAATCGTGTCTGGCCGGCGGCAGGAGTGAATACCCCGCAAGTTTTGCCGTACCAACCGCCCTGAATACCGTCTGGTCCAAGTTTATTCCAGATCACCACACTCCAGTCTTCTCCCCCTGCTGGTCCATTGAAGCGAACCACATACTTGTACTGGTTGGCTCGATTGGCAGGGAGTTCGACAATGTTACCCCCATATGGAACGCCGACATTGCGTGGATGTGCTTTCCTGTCGCTCGGAGGCGTGAGTCTCGCGGGGTTCGTGACCAGGTACATGCGAGGTGAGATGAAAACATCTTGTCGGGGCCATTTCGGTGCACTTTCTGAGAATGGACATTGTCGGTACCCTTGACAGCAGATTCCGAACCATATGAAGGCACCAATAAGCCGTAGATTATTGCATCATCGCGGGACGCAATTGTATGTGAATTGAATGCGGAAGTAAATGAGACTGATCGAGAGAGAGGAGCAAGCTGCACAGAGAAAAGCTGCACAGAGAATACTCTCGACTTATTGTATTGTGCTTCGCCAACAAGTCGTTCCTCGAATGATTTGTTCAGAGGGTGTAAGATGGTGAGAATGCTTTTCTTTGTTTGTACACTTTGGTCCATTGAGCCCGAGCATGAAACATAAGCGCAATATGGAATATTCAGTATGTAGTCAAAGTTTACTTGAGCCGAGCCTCCTGAAGTGTCTTTCTCGGAGACTCGTTAACGCCGACTTCTGAGGAAATCAACATCTTGTACAAGAGCTGTGACATTCATACCGCCGACGGGATGTTGACTTGTTCAATCAAGGAGCACAAATCCCGCTATCGAGTATGATGGATTGACGCGTCAGAAAAGTGCTTCTCGGCTGTTGATTCTTCATAAATCGACACACTTGCTTGGGGGTATACGTTCAAATCATAAATGTCTGCCCCTACAAAATACAGCTACAATGAGTCCCGTATGAGGCATTTCGTCGAATCTGAGACCACCACACGCTGCCGCTAAGATCACAATTATGTGTTGGCCTTGGCTTGGATGAATTGACAGTCTACGCCTTTCGATAGAACAGTCATCGCACATCACTACACTCCCAAGGATACCATATCATGATCGAAGAAGTTCTTCATGCCGACATGGATCAAGGACTGTCAAATGGACTTGGTCAGCTACAGTTTTCGAATCGCCCCGACGACAATGAGAATCCGCAGTTGGCAGTGAACATCATTCCCCTTCCAGCTGAGTTGATCTATGACATCCTGGATTATCTGCCAAACGAGGATGTAATTGCATTCGTATCTTGTCGGTGGGACTTTTTTCAAGCTTCAATCGACTTTCTGATTGATAGAGTGGGGCCTGCCTTCCAAGGTCTTGACTCGTTGGTGAAGGCTGTCATACACAAAAACTGGCCTAAGCAGTGGCTATGGGATCTCATGCGGAGATCCAAGTCTGGTAAATCAAGTTTGCGAGGCTTCAAATCTCTCCTGAATCTTTTTGAACAGAATGAGTGGCCTGAGAAAGTGCTTCGGAATATTGTCTCTGCGTGTGCCAAACATGGATCGCCGATTTCGCACAGCTGTCTTAACTCTCACTTTTACGAAGGAGCCATTCTTTATCTGCAAGAAGAGCCAAATGCGGCATTGGATATGACTAGGTCTCAAATGAGTGTTCTTCAAAGTTCCATCCTCCTCCGTGCCACCAAATGCGTTGAAATAATCGAGGCCATTCTGCAAGATATGACAGAACCAGAACGAGTGGCTCATATAAATTACTTCGACGATTTCAGCAATACTGCTTTAGACTATGCGGTTAGGATCTCTCCAGTCCCTATCATCGATGCACTGATCCGCTTAGGAGCTGATTTTGACAATCGCGACAAACTTGGTTTTACGCCACTCATGAATGCTTGCCACTTGGGACGCGATGAAGCCATCCACTGCTTGATTGACCACGGTGCGAATGTCACCGCTACGAACAATTTTGGAGAATCGGCGCTAGAGTGTACCATGATGGGAGACAGCAAAACAAAGCAAAGTCTGTTGAGGCGCCTTTGCGGGCGAGCCAGCCAACATCAAAAACACCGCGCTTCTCCATGCCTTCAAGAACAACAAGCAGTTTCTGGATCTCTTTTTAGAGTGTGGCGCAGAGGGCCCATACATTGGACTCCCGGAGCGTATTATTTCTCTTGACTTGGTCGATGGTCAGTCTTCGGCACACATGCAACAACAGATTCCGTCAACGTTACTCGAAAATGTGGCAGAGTCTCAGACCTCTGGTATCGAGCCGCAACGCAGAAGTTCCCCGATCGATGGGACAGAAGTAGATGAAGGTCAAAGGGGCACGCGCGATGACCATATCTCCCGCACAATAGGGGCCCTGAAGATCAACGATATGCATAGCAGGGTTGACGCTTGGGGCTACATTGGAACAGGATGCTTCTCCATCATGCGAATTGGCTCATTAGAAGCCTGCAAGTACATTTTCAAGATCGGGTTGCTTGGCAACACAGAATCCCTTCAAAAAGTATCTGACTCGCAGAGCCGCATTTCTCATATCACCTACATTGATGAAATGGGACGCACTCAACGACTATATGGACGGGAGAATGTGCAAGAAATTACGGGGGTAGTCATAGCGGGAACCCCGTCGTGGTCATTAAGACGGGCCCCAACGACCTACGTCAAAATTAAGTGGACTAGGATCTCATTCCGACATTCCGCACTTTGTCCGAATGACGAAAGCTGGATAACACGGACTGACTTTCTGCGAATGGTTGGCCGAGTTGTTGGTGATGGTCGCATTCATAGAGCTTGGCAGAGGCAAGAGGAACGATACAGCAGAATCGGCTGACGGAATCAACCTTGTCTTTTGTACCTTACTACACTTGCTCGTTCAATTCATGGAAAGTCTCCATATACAGAAAATGCAATAAATGCATTCTTGAGCGTTCTAGAATGAGATGTGGTGTCGCGCATGTATATGATTGAGGATATCGCGTTTCGAGATTGAGGTATGCGTGCACAATTGCGTCATCTTGCTCAGACAGGTCGCGGGAGGTCGGGATGGTGCTTCCGTAAAGTGACAGATCAAAGTGCATTTTCAGTAAACAGATAAGACTGGCAATGAGGATGAGTTTGCGTTCAAGACGGTGCTGCTGGATAGAGAGCAACAGAGGAATTCGGTGTGTACAGTCACAATGTGCCCTTATCAACAAGCGAACATCAGCGAGTCAGGATTGGCTTTGAGGCTTCACATATAGAGATACATACACCATGAATCCGTTGATTGCTTGATTGACCAACACCGCTATTATCATACACTTAAGCCACTAATGTTGGTGATGATGGCTGCTATTTGATGCATGCATATGCAGCACTTTCTTTATCAAATGGAAATCCTCTTGACTTGCTTTCATTTCTAGGGCTTCCAAAGCTGCTAGGTAGTCTTGTACCTCGGTGGATAGTCTTTGGATTTCTCTGTTTAAATACTTTCAGAACCAAAACGCTGTTTGAGTCTTGAGGGACAAAGGAATTCATACCTCTGGAAGAATTCACGTTTTTTGGCCCATACTCGCAATTTCTTTGCAGAGCAAAGCAAGTCTTACAGCTGGGCCGATCCCCACTGCACTTAGTCTTTGCACCCCGGCAATGGTTGCATGCGACTGAGGCACGACTTTGTCATGCAAAGAAGCGCGTTTCTGTCTGGGTATTGCCTTCTTAGGCCTGATGGCATGGGCAGGTGTCCAGAAACAAGCGTCAATCTTGTCAGCCACCTCGTCTTTGGTCAAGCCGTTTGGCTTGCCTTGTAGCGTTTCTCTGAATTGATGATCATCCGGGCTTTTATCAATAGCACTTGAACCCTCATAGAGAATCTGAGCCAGCTCCATATTAGGCTACAACAATTGAGACAATGATCAGACTGCAGATGCGATTTACCCAAAAGACTCTACGGGCAATGCAGGAACACCCAGCCAAGTGCATGTTGCTCCAAAGAAGCCATTTCTCTATGACGTTAGAGAACATGACGAACCAATCGGGAAAGCTTCGGCGACGCTTCGGCGAAAGCTATGGAATTTGCTGTCCGCAATTGCCCGCGCTAAGTTACCAAATTTCATTCTCATCTCGATGCTGTAAGATGGGGTTTGAGTGGAGATCAGATACACAACAAACGCGATTCAATCTCCAGATTACTATTGGACTGACAATCAAATGGCCAGGTGATTCAATGGAGAGGTGCAGAGACGCGACTGTCGTGGAGAGCAAATGAATCTCCCACACAAATCTGCAATCCTGTCGCCCTCGAAAAGACCCGTTGCTGCATTACAAGAGCGCTTTGAACAAATAATCGGAGTGAATAACTTAGAATCGAAGTGGATGCATGTCAATCTGAAAACGAGCTGATTTTGGCGTCAACGGTAGTGTTTTCTTATTTGCGCGAAAATGACGAGCGGCTTTTTTTGAACATATTTACTGTAGGTGCTTTGATAGGAAAAAGGAGGGGAATTGTACATGAAAATAAATCAAGAAGGGAGAACGACAATTTAGCAAGCCTGACGACGCGCGAACCCCCCATGCTGTATTCTAACGACGACAAGTACATCCCAACAAGAGTTGCATTCAGGCATTCCGCCTCTGGGATCAATTAAGGAATCCTCAGTCTTGCCTGTTTCGACTGATATCAACCTTTGAGCTATCCTTCTGGCCCTGACGATAGGCATCGAGATCTCGAATGACAGTGTCGCTTTTTGCATTCGGACAGCTTGATCTTGTGTTCAGTCAAATAATCGTCTGCCACCTGCTCCGCTGTTGCACGGAACTGGACCAACTGGGCGCCAGACACCCATGATGACGCTGCGGGCGAAGATGAGGCCACAAGCTCGGCTTTGACATCGGCTGCGGACTCTGGTTGAAAAGCAGGCACATCGGTTGCTCTTCGTGGCTCTCCAGGTTCCCGTTTCACAAACATGTCAATACTCTCATTCACGTCACCATAGAGGTCTATGCTCTCCATGTCATCCGTATTGAAGTCAGCCTTGAGCCCGAAGTCCTCGCTGTCGTCCTCCTCGATGCAAGGATCAATATCGCGCGCGTTATTGCGGATTCCTCGATCGGTGCATTGATCGTCAATGGAAGTGGCAAACTGGCCCGAAGGCAGCTGTAGTCTCTGGGTTTCTTGCTGAATTTTCATCGCCACTTCGCGCTCCTGAGAAGCCAGGAAATCTAGTTCCTTGCGCCGCGCTTGGTCTAACTCTCTTTGTTTCTCGCGATACGCCATGGCTGCGAGCCCATCGGCAACACCGATGCGATAACTAAACGTAGGTGTGCCGCCTTTATAGAAACATGCCCAGTCCAGAATTCTGTTGTGTGCCATCTCAAATGCCATTGCCGCTGCAACCGTGTTGCTCGCAATGCCAAAGAAGCTCCATTCCACAAACTCACCGCCGTGAGTTGAGTAACACTTGCAGTCAAAACTGGTACACATGGCCTGCGCTAGCTTGGAGGTGAAGGCTTCCATCATGGCTCTTTTTGTGGATCTATCGGTTTTGGTAATGCGAACTTTGCTCCGTCCACCGAAGGATGCCTTATTGCTGTTTCCATCCGCAGCCATGAGATCTGCTTGGGTCACGTTATGCTGGCTCATCAGTTTTTGAGAGATGAAAAGGGCAGCTTTAGCCTCTAGCTCGGAGGAGTTCGGGTGGTGAGCGCGACTGAGGCATTTTTGAATCCGCTCCAGGATCTTATCGTCGACGCGAGATGACCTTTGGGCTTGACCGCAGTCAGCAATTTTGACCACTGTCGCCTTCTGCAAAGGGCGTCTATTGGCGCTTCTCGGTGAGCCTTGACCAGTGTGGAGAGACATCATCAACCAATAGTGTTTGAGACAAAATAAGTATGGAAGTATTAAATGAGTAGAGGGACACTGGCGAAGAAGAGGCGTCGGGCATCCAGTCGGAGAAAGCGAGGCAATCTAGACTTAGTACCCGGAGCACCTCATTTATAGCGTGGGAGAAACGGCCGCGGGACTTTCTGTTGAGCCCGTCAGTAAGTCAGCCAGTCAATCTGAGTCCATTCGGAATCTTTACATGGCCGTTGAAAGGGTTGGTGATAAAGAAACCAATCAAGTTGTTATCTGTCTAGAAACTGAAATGCGCAAGATGACCATACCTGCAAATCAAACATACGACTTTGCCAGAGGGTCAGTCGGTCAAACGGACATTTTCACAATCAATAAGGTGATTATGTAGCATTGTCGCCGTGGATGATATCAACGATGAATTAGCAGAATCAAGACGTCCCTTGAACCAAATTGCAAGCCAGAGGACTTCCACCGCATTTCACCCACGTTTACACATTCTTGCGTAGTGTATGTACAACTGACTTATCCACCCCAAGAATACCTCATATAGATCCCCGAAAGCGCACTCTGAGTCCCGAAACCCGAGGCGAGCATTCTAGGATCGCAAAAGCTCCCAGGACTGACCGAGGTGATCCCACACTCCATTTGGTTGGTTTGGGGATAGGTTTTCGGGGATCTCGGGCAGTTTCCATCATCTTTAGTTGCGTGCTAGGCCGTACTTCGCCGTCATTCTGTTGTAGTTTCAGGCTACGAAGGTATTGTCTTTTCCTTTTCCCTCCGATTTCGAAATCACCGCTGCAACAATTGTGGAAGTTGAAATGACCCCGAAAACCTATAATTATGTGGAGCTGCTTTCGCTGGACCTAGCCGTGGAGAAAATCATTTGCTTCGGCTGCGTAAGTCATTCCAGCCAAACTTCACGAACATCATTTATTCCATGCGTCTAGGCAGTCTTTCCTCCATGTGTATCCAAGCTCGACGAAAATTCATAAGCAGATCAATGGATCAAATTAGAGATAAGCGATTTACCGCGACTCTCTATGGCTTTCACCTCACTTCATGACCAATCCCTTCAATGGCTGCAGGAAATAGGGGTGACCATACACTATCAATTTTCCCTCACCCAGCATCAAATGGCTATGAGCCTCTGTGGTCCGCCGTCGTTCTTGAAGTGTCCTTTTTTCAAAATGGCTTGTGCTGGCAAGGTTTTGTCAAAGCCTCCAATTTACCTGCAGTCACCTCTCCGTGCCAATATGAGCATGGAATACGAGAATCCGCGGTGGCTGAGGTTTGCTGGGGTTTCAAACAGCTCAACTCTCCATATGGGAGAGACCAAGTATTTCCGGAAGCTTGTGAATGCACCTAGGAGACATTTGCCCCCCAAGCGCTTTTGGCATTCATATTATCTGTCTTTCCTTGTCTTGCTTGATACGTTCGCGACTCTGGTTTTCGATTGCCATGCCTGTACAGTACAAACAGACAGTGTGCGAATTGCGCGAATTGCATTTCTATATTCTGATGATTTCAGTCCCGGATAGCAGCATAGACAGACATCAGGTATAAGATTGTAGTCGTTTGACGCCCCACAACCACTCAGCTCGGTAGTTCTAGAGCCTCAGTGATGGAGACTCACCGGATGCGAAGGCTTGCATCGGCTCGAGTCCAGTTCATGGTATCAATGATCGATGTGAGTTGCCCCGGTCAAGTCAAAACAAGAGCCGTAGCTCTACAATCAATGTAGCATGGCTGCAATACACTCAGTGGAAATCTTTCGAGTGGGCGATGGCTTAGACCCTGAAAATTCGATTATCAACGAGTGAGGCGCTGGTGCAGACTTCCTCAAAACATAGCATGATCGCTGGCCTCTTTTATGAATCAACAGCCAATGCTGAAGTTCAGATGATGGTGATAAAAGTGCATGCTGTCGCAGTCGAGCGATGATCGCTGCCCATCGTGTTCAAGTGTTGAAAATACGGTCGTTGAGACAAGGTTGATCGTTGATCAACGCTCTCCAGGACAAACATTCATGAAATAAAAGATATTTATTTTTCAAATAATTTACTATTATTCTAACATTTCAGAAAATTACTTGAGGGCATGATCCCCTTGAGATGACCTTCATTTTCACCGGCCCGTACTTGGATATTGTCTGGCCCGTCACCTCAGTAAGTCGAGGTTCAACAGGCCTGACTTTGCACAGGCAACTTCAATGCCCCCGAAAACAATGCCCCCCAAAAATCGACAGACAGAAAAGACTTCACCACGGCAATACAACGCAGGCGGTAACAAGACCAGTCAAGAGACCTATAAATGTGGCATTCTTCCCTGGTTCTGTGCCGAGATAATTCTCTTCCTTACCACATCTGACGGATCCCCATGCAACAGAATCATGAGTCCCTTCTCCTCGACCCCAAGCTTTTGCTGTGGCTGATATTCCCGGTGCACACAGAAGCCACCAAGTCACCTGGCTCTCTCTACCCACTGGTGGTTCACTCCACTGTACCCGTCTTCGTGCCTGTCTGCCAGAGCTTGGCGATAGTCCTTTGGTGAGTGCTATATCCATGTACGTTGTCGAGTTGAGCTAATAACGTGGCTTCCGCCTAGCTTCTCGACCACAAGAGTGAAAGTGAGGCATCCTGCAGGTGAGTCCCATGTCAGTCCCATATCCGTCGGCCAGTGCTGAAACACTCAATGTTACGACCAGCTAGGTCTTCTCAGATACGATAGCCCCAAGTCACCACTCCAAGGTTATATAACTACCTACCAGCTACACCGATAACAAGATTACCATGAGACCCAACGCTTTCATGTGAGTCACGGGTCTTTACTTACATTCCGCTGCTAATACATGCGTCAGATACTGCCTTCAGCGAGATCATCAGTGATATCATCAGCGAGAGCTCCGAGTATTGAACACCACCACCCTCGAGCCCTTCCCATGCACATGTCGCCGTTGTCCTGAATGGTTCGATGTTCTGATAGTGTCTCAAGCATGGCTACTTGTGCACTCCATCGCGGCCACAGGTCTCG